TCATGAGCTATTTCTCCACCAAGAACCCAATGGGACGTGTTTGCATAAAGGTGTGATAGATTTCCACCAAGAACCCAATAGGGACATGCTCACATAAAGGTGTTTGAAGAAAATCACCAGCTATCAACTCATCAAAGAGTAAATATATATATATACATATATATATATAAAGAACGAAAGAAAGATACACCTAAAAAGTGTGAAAAAGTAGACCTTATAGGCAATTCCTCCACCGAGAACCCGAATCAGGACGTGTTTGCATAGAGGTGGAGAAAAAATCCACTGAGAACCCAGTAGGGACGTGCTCACATAAAGGTGTTTGATGAAAGAAAAAAAAAGACAAACACACCCTTAGATCTAAAGACATCCAAACTACTGCTATGACTAAGAGCACCCACTATGGTTGCGGTAACGAGGTGATTTATCATAACTTTACCGCTAAATTGCACACAGGTCCACTATGGGCCTGTTTTACACTTGCAGTCCCTACGACTGCATCAAATTTTGCATCGCGCTTGTTCAAATCTACAAAAGCCTAAAACTTTATTTATTGTAGGATTTGACGCATCCAATTGGTCAACTGCCACCTGATGATCCATCTGCATCCATCTGCATCCATCCAGCTTTGCACACCTTCAATCCTCCCTGTCCCCTCAAGATCTCGGCTTGTTACTGTTTACTCTGAACTTGCTGAACAAGTATTTTTTTAAGAAAAAAAAGTGATCTCGCGGGATTGATTTCACCGAGATCAAACAAGAGGTGAGAAAGCTTGTTGGCTATTTTCTTGTCAACAACTGAAGACTTCACTTTGGTTCTTTCTAGTCACCAACGTGGTCATCAGCATAGAAGTGAGCTGGGTGAGGTGCGGTAAGATAGTATAAGTCAGTTCATGATTTTGCCATAGAGTGTAGAGTGTCTTAAGAATGTGTTATCATTGGTAAATCACTTGTTACATCAATCTGTAGTGGATTTCATGTGTTTACCAACTTGTGTAAAACACGCGTGATTAAATTTTGCACTTGGGAACGCAAAATTTACAATAAATCACCCTCATGATAGTGGGTGCTCTAAATGCCGTCTCTCCAAGAGGAGTGTTCAAACCTGAAAAGTTGAGATTTGGAACGAGATTTGGAAGCAAAGATTTGGAACTATGATTCTTGTACAGATCTGTACAAGAATCATAGTTATGTCCATATTGGAATATAGATGTTGTTTGAGCTTTGAAGCTTTGCTCGCTTCAAAATAATAAGGGGGGCTCTCAAACCTGGGACTCCAAATTTGGAACACGCCGTGCTGACGCTAGCATGTGGTTTTGTCCACTGCTGAGCGGCCGGAAATGCCCAACTCACGGCAACTGAAACACACAGCGGTGCTCAGCACACGCCTTTGGTTTTCAATCAAGTTCTCAGAGGATTCGGAGAACCAATTGATGGCCAGGCCAAAGAATGCCATCTTGGCGTAACATATGTTTACATTTCGAATGGATCCCAACTTGAAGGTTGCCCCAAGTTGGACCAGGGACTGTGCTGCCAAAGCAGCCGCTAAAATCAATTGGCCCCCTCTGGTATGTTGGATGAGCTCTGGGTCATGATCAGCCAGGATGATCAAGCATCTCGAATGTTCGAGTGTAGGCTGCTACATCGAGTGACTCAAACCATTTTTGAATAAGATAAAGTGACAAACTCAGCGAGTTGGGTTTGGTAGTAGGCAACTAGAATTGCTCGTGTGATGCTACAACACAAGAAGGGTTGGATTGGTCACCGAGAGGCAAAGGGGTGTGATGAGCACCACTGTGTTTCAGTTGCCGTGAGTTAGGCATTTCCGGCAGCTCAGCAGTGGACAAAACCACATGCTAGCGTCAGCACGATGTGTTCCAAATTTGGAGTCCCAGGTTTGAGAGCCCCCCCTATTATTTTGAAGCAAGCAAAGCTTCAAAGCTCAAACAACATCTATACTCCAATATGGACATAACTATGATTCTTGTACAGATCTGTACAAGAATCATAGTTCCAAATCTTTGCTTCCAAATCTTGTTCCAAATCTCAACTTTTCAGGTTCGAACACTCCTAAGGTATAAGTCTCCTTTTTCCTAACTTGTTCAGGTACACCACGGGGGCACCCTGACCACCAAATGGCCATCCTAGCCGGCCGCCAGCAGACCGCCTCTCGTTGCAGAGAGACTGACGGCCTGCGGGTAGTCAGTTTGGCGACGACCGCATGCCGAACGAGGGTAGGGCTAGCCGACCAGCATGAGGGCGCCCTTGCGGTGACGGAGGTTTGGCCTCGCGCCATCCTGCGACGGTCAGTAGGCGATTTTCAACGCCCGACGGGATTTTCTCGCGGCCAAACCCCAATGGCTTCGGTTCACTTGGGTCACAGCAGCTCTTGCAAACAAACAAAGATCATAGTGGGCTTGAAGTGGAGTGCATTACTAGGAGGTGGCAAATAGTTGAAAAAAAGTGGTCATTGAATGATAACAAAACAAACGAGAGAATGGAGAATTTGAAAAAGAGAGAAATGAAAACAATTTGTTGATTTTTGACATGGAATAAGAGAAGATTTCAGTCTGCTCGATTATTATTGAGAACAACTTCTATCTATGTCGCTGCTACATCTCAATAACAAAGGAATTAATTGAAAAGGGGATGATTTGTTTGCAACGTATCAAAAGACATCATTGATTGTCCCCGCCAATTTCCTCATTTTCAATTCCTTCCATCTCCGCTTGTATACCAACTTCGGAAGGCAGATCGAAGGTCTCGGGTGTCAATATTGCGATCATCAGTTTCCTCACCGCAGTCATTGGCGATCTATACAAAGAACAGTCAGATCTGAATCTTGATTGTGCAAAGTAATTGACTAAATGCCTACCCAATAGATCGTTCTCTTCGTATTTGGGATGATGCCCTCAGGTGGAATGTTGGGTTTGCGAGGGTTGCGGATGTTATGCGACACCTTTTCAAACGGTCGGTCAGTGGCTCTTTTGAATTCCAATGAAAAGTAAAAAAGAGGATGAAGAGACTAACTAGAGAAAAACAAAGAAAAGGAACAAAAGAGAAAAAAAGGAAACGAGTCGATCAAAAAACTGTATCTTGTAAAGAGGGCATACCAGCTGAACTTACTTTAACAGTGTTACACAAAGAACCAAGTAATAAGTCACTGTTAGATGACTCACGTTCAGTGGGAAAAATTATAACGAGTCGATCAAAAAGAATCCAACTCATAAAGAAAGTAGACCAGCCGTACTCACTTTGATAATATTAAAGAAAGAACCAACGAAGAAGTAACCATCAGGTGACTCCTGTTGATTCGATGTAAATGAAGCAAAATGAAATCAAAGAAGGATTGATGTTGAATCCGGGTGAAAGTCCAATAAGATAAAAAGTGAGAAAACTAACTCATGGACAAACCTGCAAGCGAATAAGGCCCCACTCCACGTGATTGTTGTTGAGAAGACATATTGTGAGTGAGATGAAAGTGATGATAAATTGAAGTTTGAAGAAAGTTTTAAATTCAAGTTCAAAACAATTGATAAATCAAAGTTTGGAGAGATTCTTGAAGGAAACAAACAAGTTGAGTTTGTATCTAAAGACAGGACAAGGCCACTCACGCGAGAAGACCGCGTTACCCAGGGGTGAGGTCACGATGCGAGAAAAATCATATGCAGGGGTGAAGACCATCATGCAGCCTCTGATTGGTCGTTGCTGTCTGAAACTTGAGAGATTTCCAGCAGATTCTTCGACAGCAACGAGTCAAGAAGGCTCAAGGCTGATGTTCTTTTGTTCGGAACTGGGTGATTAATTATTGTGGTATTGGGCTCTCGCGCTCACCATAACATAACACGTTGTTGATTTCATGCTGTCCAAAACGGCTTGTTAACCACAAACTAAATGCTATCAAGATCTTATTTTTCAACGTGATAGCCTTGGATCCAATCAGTCTGAATCGACACTTGATGGCAGTCCCAGAGCAACTCATCGAGGATGGCTTGGCTCAGCGCAGCAAGAACTGACTGCTGAGCATGTGAGCACAATGACTCAGCAGTCGGTTTTGGGAAGGTCAACTACCGACTGCTGACCAAACAGGCCGCCTATGGGCCCGCGTGGTGCGCCTACAAGTCAGGCTGCAGGCTGTTCTGGGCACAAACAGGGGCGGCCTACAAAGGCCAGCCGGAGGTGACCTTTGGTCTACCCAGGGGCGATCTGCGGGTCAGAATTTGACTCGACGTGTTGAAGACCGGTCAGGATCAACTTCTGACCCAGGATCCCCCCGTGGTGTAGTGTTTATGCAATACAGCCTTATGCACTTTAAAAAGAAAAAAAAAGATGAGCAACTTGGTTTGAAGATTAAAGTCATGATCAGACTCAAAGTAGCAAGTTGTCCAAGATAGTTTGGATTCTGACCCCTATCTCGCCCCAATCGAGACCTCAGACAACCTTCAGATGTGGTATGTATCGCGGGGATTCGCAGAATGCTTTGACTCAGACCGAGTTTGCCAGAAAGTAAAAAAACTCTGTATGAACCAAATCGATAACACCGCCACGAATCTTCAAATAACAAATCGATGCTTTTTGGATCGAATTTGTAAGGTGTAGGTGTAGGTCTTCATGGGACTTGTAGTGTGAAGGCGAGGACGTGATGAATGTGTTGAGATAAAGCTTGAAGACTTGAAATTCTTGTTTCGATATGAGCTTACTCGACGGGCCAGAAGCATGTTTTTCGAGGATGAAGAGGTGTAGAGGTAAGCTCAATGAGATTGGTTGCGGTGTGATGCAATGATCATTCACAACCGATGAGGATGTTTGATCAAGTAGAAAGTCACATGGAACTCCGAACGAAGCAGAGCAGTTCAAACTTTAAAGTTTAAAGTCAAGTTTAGTCTACTAAGTACCAAATATTAAGATAAAAGCCTGACTTAAGTAGTTAAATTTGGTCGTTTTAATTTAATTTGGATTTGAAAGTAGTCTGTACCCTTCTTTACCTTTGAACTCAACCCTTGACCACTCTTCAGCTCATCACTTAAACCAATCACAACCAACTCACTCGAAAGAAACAGATTAAACGAAGAACTCAACTAATGAAAACAACCATGACAGAAACCAATCTAACCGTCCATCCACCAACCTCACCTTCAGATTCAAATTCAGATTCAGATCGATCTGATGATTATCAATTACCTCTAACTTCTCCCATTCGAATCCATCATCAACATCCCAATGAAACAGATCAAGACGAACAACATACTCATACCTCTTCAGAAGCAGATGCAGAAAGGGGTCAATTACTCTCCTCTTGGAAATCTCAACAATCAAATTCAAATTCAAATCTAAATTGGAGTGAAGATGAAGAAGAAGAAGACGACGAAGATGATTCATTAGAAGATGAAGGAGAAGAAGGAGATGATGAAGATGATAAATCAATTGAAATATCAAAATGTATTAAATCATATAAATCTACTTCAAATCAAACACCTCATCTTACCATCATACCTAATCCTAATCTTCAAATCTTATCTAATTCTAGTTTTGATTCCGATTTACAATCTCCTGATATCAGTCTTGATTCTACTCGTCTATCTGACGAACGTAGAAGAAAACTCAAAAGACGTAAGAAACGTAGGGTTTATGGTGGTGGTAGACTTGATGCCGGTGGTGAATTAGAGATTTGGGAAGTGGCTTTAGGCATTGCTGGTGATATGTGAGTGGCTTTTGTGTCTCATCCTCAGATCATATGCTGACTAATGAAATTTCCATTTATTTCACACCTTATCACTCGATTAATTGATACTCATCTCAATTACCAACCATACCCATCTTTCGATGTTTCGATCTCATTCCGAATCTATGAATCAATCGCTTCTTAATCAATCATCCAACGATATCCACTCAAACCTTAGACTCTCACCTGCACCTCTCTTCATCCCACACGCTTTCCTCTTACTCGGTTTACCTATCGGTTTACCAGTCCTCTTCCTCTCAGCTTTCCTCGCTTGGTTCTCTCATGTTGTTTTAGTCGTATGTGGTCGTTATGTAGGCGGTCGAACCTATGCTCAAATTGCATCTGCAGTCTTCCCAGATCGATGCAAAGGCTTCAATCTTTGGTTTGGTGAATCGGTGGTTGAACTCTCTCGTCTTTTCATCGCTGGCGGTCGTGGGATGGTGAACATGATGATGGTATCCGACCTAGTAAGTTTTTGTCTTTAAGGTATCATATCGAACCATCTGACTTGGTTCTATCTAGTTTGCTCAACTCACTCGACAATACACACCTAAAGCTGCAATCCTCTATTCACGAGTCTTCATCATCGTTTTTGTCGCTCTAATTTCACTGATCCCAAACTTTATTCGTCCTCGAAGACCAATCTTCATGCCTGCTGCTTTTCCTACTCTCTCACGTCTTCCGCTTCTTCTTACTACCCTTTGGCCGATCGCACTAGGACTCATTGGGTTCAGATTAAGGCAACTCAATAAAGAACTTGGACGTAAATTACCACCAAGTGGTGAAGGTGATGTTTATAGTGAAATTATGGGTGGTACTGTTTGGGGTGGATTCAGTACGTTTTTTTCTTCATCATCTCATTTCGGTATCTGTACTAATCTGGAATACCTATTGCCTTGGAATTGTTACAGCTATTATCCTTTTTTGTCTCACTACTCCACAAAACACATTCACGCATCTTAGATCATTGAAAAGAATTAATAAACTACCAGCCCAACCGGCTCATCATCCGATGGTCCCCATCGGCCATGGTGCTACCCCGGATCCTACTCTCAATCGAGGTTCTTTTGCTACAAGTTATACTCTTCGACGATATTCTTGGGAATCAGCATCATTTCTAGGTGTACTTTATGCTTGTTTGATTTGTCTTGGTTGGGGTTTGGTAGGGTACTTGGGTATGGATCATGGTGGTTACGAAGGTAATGCTTCTTTCTTGAACCATAGTTGAGTTACAGTCGAACTAATGATTTCGAAAATTACAATTTTGTTTCAAGTGAATTTTCTCGCTTCCTTACCGTCTGCCGATCCATGGATCTCTGCCTCTCGAGTATTAATTTTGATAGTTTTAATACCATCGATTCCACTTTCATTAAGAGCAGCAACCACCTCACTTTTCCATTTCTGTCGAATTCCATTTGTGATCAGAACAGCTTCTAGTAGACGAGCGAGATTAAGGAATCGAGGGAATTCGAGTAAATCAGGAGAAAGAAGAAGAGGGATTGATACAGAATGGGATGATGAAGATGAAGATGAAGAATTAAAAGGAATCAAAGTTTGGGGTGCTAGATTAGTGACGATGATCGTTTGGGTTGGGGTTTCGATTGGAGCTGTGCTTTGGGGTGGTAGTAATGGTGGTGAAGGTAGTACGATTGAAATGTTGGGATGTGTGGGATCTACATTTATGACGGGTATCTTGCCTGGTTTGTTTGGCTGTTTTTTCTTTTCCCTTGGAAGATATGTTGAGTTTGAAGTGAGAAAAGAAAACTGATGACCAATTTTTTTTTGATTTTTTTCAATCTTAGCTATTTTCTTTGTGGTTTTATTTCATGTTAGGAAAGCTAGATCTATTTTTGTGACGGATTCTAGAACACAACAAGATGAACTATTAGTTAGAAAAGAATCACAATTACAAGTAAGTTTTACGAATGTTTTATTTAGAAGACTTTTTTTTGAAAATCAATCTTGATGAATGATGTTTTTATTTTGGTTTGATTTTTAGAGACGATTGAATGGTAGAAGATTATGGCAAGATGTTTGTGTGTTTGGGATCTTGTTACCTTATTGTATGGTGATCTTAATGAAAGGATTGATTGCAGCTTTTACCTTAACAAGAATAGATGGAAAACCGTAAGAGATAAGAAGCTAAAAGGATTCCAGATTGTTTATGGAAATCAATTTAAAGCAAGTTTTGAAGGGGTTGGTTCTTTGATTGATTATTTTTTCGGTTTTTTTTTCGCCAAAGAACTGGGTTTCATTCTTTAAGCATTTTGTGTGTTCATGATTTCATTTAGTTTTTGGTTTTGGATTTGGTATATTCTGTTTTTTTTTTGGTTTTTTTTTGTGATTTGTGATCTGGACATTTGAATCAAAAGGTTCAAGAAGAATGCTAGTTTGATTTTGATTTTGATTTTGATTTTTTGATTTTATGGTACAACTAGTCTTGTTTTAAGTTTATATTTTTATCGTTATTTGGTTTTGGATGATTAATTTTGAAAGTCAATTGATTGTCTTTTCTGTTACAAAACATTGCTAGATACATTGAGGAGATTGAGAGATGATGGATGATGATTGGGATGATTATGGGTATAGGTTTAGGTAAGTATGGGGTATTGAGGAGAACTGATTTGATTTGAAATTGAATGACAGAGAGAGAGAGACACGTGGTGAACTCGATCGGGTGCTGAGCCATCAACCAACCAACCAACACCATCAACCAACAACAACCATCAAGGATCAAGGATCAAGGATCAAGTGATTTAATCAAGAATGTCATCAACTCCATCATCAAATCGATTTGCAGTCTTGGCTAATAATTATTCAGATCAAGATTCATCACCAAACCAATCACAATCTAACAAAAAGAAAAAAAATAAATCAAATCAAAACTTAAAACTTAGAGATCAAGAAGATGAAAGATTATCCAAACATCATTTAGATTCACCTTCTCAAAGTTTAAGAGTTAGAGGAAACATGAATGAAAAAGAAGAAATCATTGAAATCCAATCTCAATCTAATCCCAATGAAGAACTTACATCAGAAAAACATTCTAGTATGATTAATAGTAAAACTAATCATCGTAAACCTTTAAAGAAGATTGATTCAGAGAAAAGTAAAAAGTATAGACAAAACGGATTAGGATCTGAATCTGGTTTGGTGACTCCTAATAGTAGTTCTATTAGTACTTTAACTTTAAAAGATAAAAAAGCAATGGTCTTATTGGTAATCTTATGTAAGTCAATCCAAGGATTTTTTTGAAAGATCTTGATAAATACTAATATATGATTCTGTTTATGTAGATATGTTACAAGGAATTCCAGTCGGATTAGCCTTTGGATCGATTCCATTCTTACTAAGAGCCAGATTATCTTATTCCCAAATCGGTTTATTCTCACTAGCTTCATATCCATATTCATTAAAACTCTTATGGTCACCAATAGTAGATTCAATTTATTTCCCCAAGATAGGAAGACGTAAATCATGGATTATTCCTGTACAAGCTTTAGTTGGAATGATGTTATGGTGGTTAGGCAATAATGTTACAGTCTTGATGGAAGCTGATGTACCTGATGTGAAAACTTTGACCGGATTGTTCTTTACTTTGGTACTCTTTGCTGCTACTCAAGATATTGCGGTAGATGGTTGGGCTTTGGAATTGCTTTCGAAAGATAACCTTTCGTACGCTTCTACGGCTCAAACTGTTGGATTAAATATCGGTTGTAAGTTTCAAAAACCTATTCACATTGATCAAAAGCTTTCCCAAAATGCTTCAAATCAAAAAACCAAAACCAAAACTAATGATTGATATGGTTTGAATTTGGATATGCGGTTCATTAGATTTCTTATCGTTTACTGTCTTTTTAGCTTTCAATAGTTTAGAATTCAGTAATAACAGATGGAGAGCATTGTTCGGTCTATCCAGTCAATCATACCCAATCATGACCCTTTCAGGCTACCTAAAGTCTGGAGGCATTTCTTTCCTAATCGTAACCATCTACCTAACCTTTTTCCAAACCGAAGAAACCCACGATTCAACTTCAACCGAACCCAAAATGAATGTCAAAAAAGTTTACAAAATCATGTTTGAGATATGTAAATTAAAACATGTTCAAAAGTTTATTTTGTTACATTTGATTGCTAAGATTGGTACTTCTGTTAATGATGCGGCTACTAGTTTAAAGTTATTGGAAAAAGGTTTGAGTAAGGAAGATTTAGCTTTGAGTGTTTTGATTGATTTTCCTTTTCAGATTGGTTTGGGTTATTTTGCTGCTAAATGGAGTAGTGGTGAAAAACCTCTTAGACCAGTTTAGTTGATTTTGTTACTTCTCTTGATCTAGTAAAAAATAACTTACCTGTTGACTGATTCGATTTGATTTGATTTTTCTCATTTTTGATGATTTGGAAAAACTCGATCTTAGTGGATTTGTGCAATGTGGTTTAGATTGTTATTTGCTGCTTGGGGTATAGGATTAGTTTATTTTTTTCCAAACTCTAAACCACTTTCGACTTCATACTTCGTTTTGGTCATCATTTCAACGGTGATTTCAAGTTTTGCTAGGTAAGTTTACCATTTTCTCTTTCTCGATCATGAAATCTTTTGGTTTTTTGATTTGATGGAAATTGAAAAAAAAAACTGATGATTTCTTTTGGTTGGGTTTAGTACGGTTCAATTTGTGGGAATTTCGGCTTTTCATACACAGATTGCTGATCCATTGATCGGTGGTACATATATGACAGTAAGTGATTCAAAGCCAAAAGAAAAAAAAAGAAACCCAAGATTGTGACGTGTTAAAAAAGATCATGTTGATTTTTTTTTCGGGATTTCTAACGAGTCTTTTGTTTTACATATTTTTTTCACCATAGCTCTTGAATACAGTTTGTAACTTGGGAGGAACTTGGCCAAAGTATTTCGTTTTGAAAGGAGTGGATTATTTTACAGAAGCTTATTGTGGTTTTGAAAATGAAAGTGTGACTAATCGAGCTTTAAACTCTACTCAACTTGAGTTTCAAGGTAAGTTATGAACTTCACTTTTCTAGAGACATACATCACCAAGTTTTTGTTTACTCTTGCTAATTTGATTTTGATTTTTTGGGTATTGGGTTTTGGTTATGTAGGAAAAGAATGTGTGACGGATTTAGGAAAATCAACTTGTTTAGATTTAAATGGGATTTGTCAAACTCAAAAAGATGGTTATTATATTATGCAAATCGTTTGTATTTTAATTGGTGCAATCTCATTATCATTAATCATTTCACCTACTGCTCAAAGATTACAAGGTAAATTCACTTCTTTTCAAAAAAAATCTAAACAGGTTGGTTTATTGATTTTGGGGTTCTGTTTTTTTAGGTTTACCGGCTAGAGCTTGGCAAGTTAGAAAAGGATTGAGAAGTTGAGATGGTTTGGGAAAACGTAGCATGAATGGAATTGGAATTGGAGTAGGAAGTAAAATGGTTAGGGTTTTATAGATCAAGATCCAATAGATCTTCAAATTAGATAAGATTCTTCTTTTCTTCTTCTTCTTTGCGTTTTCCTTTATCTTTGAGTTTCTCTGTTTGTTTGTGTGTGTGTTTTCATTTTTTTTAGTTGAACTTTTGATGATTTTTTTGAAAAGAGCCCTTATGAAAAAGAAAATATAGAGTTTTTTTGACTTCAATTTCATTTCTTTAGAATTAAAGTGATCAAGTTTTTAGCATTCAAAGTTGTTTTTTCATTTTTTTTTCTTTTGTGTATGAATTTTGAAAGGTTTATGAGGTTTATGTGAAAGGCATGGTTTTTTTGTGGTGTTGGATTTTTTGGGGAGGTTTTATAGTTTTGAATTCTAAAATTGAAAAGCTCGGCCAATCTTGCCGTAAGATGCAAGCGCGTCTGCAGGAAATGTTTGGTATAGGTTTTATGACACTTGTTTTGTGGTGTTATAATATGAGAAAGGAGTTGAGGAAGGAACATCATTCGGTTTGATTAGTTGGGTTTAAGAAGGGATTCGTTGTATTATGAGAATGCAATAGAGGTGAAGCAAATTTTGGGAAAGATGAAGTCTATGATCAGTTGAACAATGGAACTTATCCCGCGAAACATGGGTTTGATCTCATGTCTCGGAAAGATTTAGGGGATCTAGCACTGACTCTCGGGAGCCTCCCATACACACGAACATGTCAATATTGAAGCATACGCAGAAGTCTTTAGATAAGATCTGAACAGAGCCTGTTGTGGGGAAAAATTTGTACTCTACTGATCAACGGTCTGAGGAAAGTCTCTTGACTATCTTTTTTTTGAAAATTTCTTTCGACAATTTTTTTGCGTAGAATACAAGTGTTTCAACACTGCCCAGTGGCAATCCGAGGCATGTTTTTTTTCTCTTGGAAAAAAATTGCATGAACGCTAAAATTGCATAAAACACTGACTCAATACGTTTCAATATGATAGGAATAATTAAACTTGAGGGAAGACGGTCATTTGATTAGGTCTGCGCCAAAAGATACGTCGGATTGATAAATCCGAGGTAAATTTGTTGGCTGTGCATGGAGATAAACCATGGGCTCAAGATCATAAAATGAGCTCTTCTTTTGCAGCTTCGCGCAATTCGGCTGATTTGAAAGATTTCTCATCAAGATTGACAAATCAATCTCTTTGCTCCATTTTTGTTCGAAATCTACCGAATATTTCACAATCAATCCATCTTCTTTGTTTTATGATAAAATAGCCAAATCCACGTCTTCTATCCAATCTTATTTCAACTTAGTACTCCAAGACCAACCCACACGAGGTTCTGTGGCGCAAAGGTAAACCTACTCTCTCATCTTCCCTTTGGTACTTTACACGGCACGGTTTCTTCCAGTGATAGAAACCCTTTGATTTCACATCTTGAAATGATCTCTCATGATCACCAAGATAAAACAATCATGGTCTACCTCTCCTCTATGAGATGAAAAGATTGACCATGTTCTTGGATCCATATAGGTGGCTCCCACTGAACTTTACAAGCAACTCTGTGAAGATTTTGTACAAGATTGACGCAATCTAGCAGCTCTTTTTTTCTTGTTGTTCTTGTAAGTTGATTCCATTTCTTTATCTGATTGGAGACTGTAACTGATGACATGATATAATCACACTGTGATAAGAAGATAAATTTGTTTCAAAGAGCTTGTGCAAAGAAGTTACTTCAATCAAGGAAAAGAAATCCAATCATCCAAAACTGGTATAGGTGAATAGAGAAGATTGAGAAAGATCATATTTTGTGATCCTCAGATAGGAAGATAACTGAAACAATTTCAAGAATTCCTCAAAAAAGCATTCACATCAGAAATAAAACATGGTATTTTCAAGAGTGCTTCTAGCCAGTCTTTGGATGCTCATATTGGCATCTACCACCTTAGCTGAATGTTTTTGTGGTCAAATGCTAGACAAAAGAATCAGAACACCTGATTGTGGTCTACAAATATATTGCTCTAAATGTGAAATGCAGTCTGGTGTGTGTCAAAATCGATTGGAGCAAAAGGTATGGGAGTGTAACACTCATGGACCACAAGATGAAGAACCAATTAGTATATGCCCCTGGAAGGACCACAAAATCAAACTTTGTTCTAAATGTCTACTAGAATCAAATTTATGATAGAGTTGAATTTCAAGATTTCTGACAGCAAAAATCTTATGTGATGCCTTTGGCACTGAAATTTTTGTGGCTACTGGTCCTAAACTATGGTTTCAAGTGAAGTCAAAAAACCATTACAGGATCTGATGACCTCAACATCTTCATTTGGTTTTTGTGTGTAGTTTCTTTGATATTTTTTGTAGGTTCAAAATGATTCATGATGATTTCAAAAACTGCATTTGTCAAAAAAATAGAGATAAAAAGATATACACACGGTTTTGTATTATGTAAAACACATTACTCACGTGCACTTTTTGGGCCAAAATCATGATGAAGTCTTATTGCCAGTTGCCAGGGGTTCAGCTTTTATGTGCCATTTTCAAGAATTCAGAGGTTATAGTTTTTTTGCCAAAGGTTTGAATATGCTCTTCACCCAAGATATTTGATTTCTTTCGGTGTTGGGTTTTAAGGGTTATGTCTTGACAACAAGTCAGGCAAACTAGAATCTGAGAAAAATTTCTTGCAACGAGAAAACAATCAACAATACTTATATTTTGACCAAGAAGTTGATTGACCTGAAGAAAGGAATTGTGTTCCCAAAGAACTTCTCAGGCATGAGGTGGAAGGTATCCTTTCGGTCCTTGTAAATATGTGTTTAATTTTGGGGTGCGTTCTGTCTTCGATTTCCAAAGCTTCCAAAGAGATTCGGCGAGGGGAAAAGACTGCCTCAAGCAGACAGATTGAGATTTGATCAGTACCTGAGTTACCTTTTTTTGGAGAATTTGAATGAATTAAATTGCAAACAGCTTGCCCAATCTTGCCGTAAAATTCTGGCATATCGGCAGCGAATTTTGGGGACAGGCCTTTGTGAAAGCTGCTATGATACGTGATGAGAGACGATCTAACAAAAACCGTTCGGCTTGATTAGTCGGGTTTGAAAAGGCATTCATTGCATCATGATAATGCAATTGATGGGTAAGCGAAATGTGTAAAAGATGAAGTCTATGAATTGAACAATGGAACGTATTCCGCAAAACAAGAGTTTGATTCCAGGTCTCGGAGTGATATAGGAAATCTATCACTGATTCTCGGGAGCGTCCTACAATTTACGTGAATGGTATCCGAAACAAAGATCAGTCGGGTCTCAAAAGGTATTCATTACATCATCATGATGCAATTGAGGTTAAGCAAATTGTGTACAAGATGACGTCTATGAATAGGATAATGGAACATAACCCGCAAAGCCAGAGTTTGATTTAAAGCCTTGGTGAGATAGAGGATTCTTATCACTAAGTATTCTCGGGAGCCTCCTACGTGAGTGATTTCCACCACGCAGCAAAATACACAAGAAAAAATATGTGGACATCATGGAAACATCGCAGCATGGTCTTCAATACGGAAAAGACACTTGTAGAGAAAAAGGTTGGCCCCACCATGGTCTGAGGAAATGTCTTGGGTATCAACTGACAGCGGATATCATCGAAACATGCAGCACGGTCTTTGATAAGATCCGAAAAGACCCTTGCAGAGAAAAAGGCTTGCCCCACCATGGTCTGAGGAGATGTCATAGGTATCAATTGACAGCGGATATCATGGAAACATTGCAGCACGGTCTTTGATAAGATTCACCAAGACCCTTGCGGAGAAAAAGGCTTGTCCCACCATATTCTGAGGAAATGTCTTGGGTATCTGGCCTACAAGTCATTTATCAGTGAGCATGGCAAATGATGGCCTGAAAATTATAAAGGGAGCTGCTTGTCCCAAGCAATTTGAGGGCTTGATCTTCCTCCATTGGCACTGACAGGCAAATTCATTTACTCTATTTTCATTCAACTCAAATATTTTAAAATCTTCCAATCAATCCATTTCTTTGTGTTACTACAATCACAAAGTCCTGTTCTTGTGTCCCAGCTTCTTCCAACTCAGTACCACAACAAAGGTCAATTCCCTTTCTCAGTTTTCTATTACTTTTTTCACTCCATTGTCTCTTGTGAGGAAAAGAACTCTTTCTTTCACATCTTGCAATGAGCACTTGAAATCATTACCTTCTTTCCACAATAAAACCCAACCCTCCCCAATAAGCTGCAAAGATTGATAATTTCCTTTGCTCTATCTAGGTGACTCACCTTTAGAAGCAGGTTTGTAAAGTTTTTGAAAAAACTTAGTGCAAGTCACCAGCTCTATACTCCTTGTAAGTTAATCCAAACCAGTGTTTCAATTGTATGTCTCACTGCACACTGCAACTGATGTCATGATGATATCTTTACATTGTGTAGAGAGACATCTAAGTTTCAAAGACTGCCTTGAAGTTTCTTCAACCAACAGAAAAAGTCAAGGTAAGTAATAAAGATTGGAATCAGTGTTACTGACACTAGAGCTTAGCTGTACTGATTGGAAGCCTACCCAACTAAGCATTCAGATTGAAAATCTGCCAGAGGATCTTTGAAAGTTTATATAGCCAGTATAGAACAAGTCAGCAGCTCTCTAAATCTTGTAAGTTTATGAAGAATGATACTTGAGTTTTTTTCTGGCTAGAAACTACAACTGACCACATCCTCACATCAAAGAAGGAAGAGTCCTATTGTGGGGACCTTTTTCCAAATATTTACTTCAACTAGTGAAAGCCGTTGACCAACTATCAAGAACAAGGATAGGCAAATAAAAAGGAGCAAACATAAATCTCATATTTGTCAATATTGGGATTAAAGATTAGCTGCATTACTTTTCAGACTTATTAAAAAAGCCCAAAAATCAGAAGGCAATAAAAATGA